CCCCCCCCCCCCCTTTTGCTTTATAACTCTTTGGCAGCCTGGATTCAAATATGGAGTTAGGTAAACCAAATGGATTGGGGTCAATCTATCAACATCTTAGAGCGTATCTCAAAACCTTCAAGGAAGTCAGTAAGATGAACTCTATATTGACTGAACAATTAGCGCAAAAAAAGAACTGGTCTGTCAGATGACAAGGTTTTTGTACGTCAATTAAAAGAAAGAAGAATGAACGTTTGTGTGTGTAAATCTGGAGAGCATATGTTGGCACTCTTGTACTAGCCATTAGGCTAGGTTGGGGGAATGAACAGGTGTTTCAGGGGAGGAAGGATCATAGCTTGAAGGAAATCAAAATAGTTTGTGCAAACCCCGGAGTTTGACTCTGTTGTATTTCCTCTTATGTGAGTAGTTTTGTGTTAGGGATCACACTGAGATGACTTCAGTTGGGCAAAAATGTGAGAGACTACTTATGTTTGTACTTCTAGCATCTCTTATTATTTAAGACTGAAGAGTTCTTTTAGGAGAAGATGTTAGAGTCATGGATTTTTTAGGGTGATATCTTTTATTGGACCAACTGCATAGTTGGAATAGAGTTAGATAAACTTTTGAATGCAAGACCCTCTTTGTCAGGTCTGAGGAGTGAAAGCCAGCACAGCATAGTACAAAACAGTTAGAAGAGGATGGAGAGAAATTCCCAGGGATAGCAGACTAATAACTGGCAGAAGAAAACCAGCTGTTTACTGGGAGATCAAGGTCTATCAAAAGGTATTAGGAGAAAAGGTATCTGTAGTGGGTTATCATAAACTGAAGCACTCCGAATGTATTTAAATTAAAGCAATTTAGGGTACATGTTTAGATGGCCGTCTTTTAAGCCTGAATAAATATTCATATGTTGCTTAGCAGGCTGAGTCTCATAGATGTATGAAATTATGATGTTTTATCTGCCCCCACAAAAAATGTATGGATTCATACCACAAGAAATAGAAGAATGATTAATGTAGAAAAGGCCTTTTGGCATGTAAGACCCATTGCAAATTAGTTGGACATAGGTGTTTACCTGTCTTGGGCTCTAAAATTATTAGTCTATATTACACTTCCAGGGTACCATCGTATGTGTCTAGAAAAATAAAAGTAAACCCCAATTCCAAGTCTCAATCCAATATCTTTGTTTTTCTATCTGTTTTGCAACCTTTATTCAATTTGGCCCTTGCATTCTTCCCCTTATGCCTATTTTCCTATATATGAATAGCAATACAGACAAGGTACAGAAGTTTGGTAAGCTTAGAGAGGAAGAAGTGTCAAATGGGTAAGACACTGATTCTCAACCCTGGTGCCATGGTGTGCCAAACAATGTTAGCCCTGTTAGGTGTGCAAACATTATTCACAAGTTAAACCCAGATGCCATGTCTACCTGAGTGTGGACGTTTGGTTCTGTGGGGACAACTAGCAGTGGCCCACCTTTAGGTGGTCAGGTTATACATTAGGCTAGGTTAGTTGTCCCCAGGGAATGCCTGTGTCATGTTCCCTTTGTCGCATAGGAGTTTACCCCAGGTGGGATGGGGAGGATGGGGCCAGCACTGGGATGGGCCTAGCAGCCTCACCTGTGGTCCTGAGGGCCTCCTGAGGCTACAGCAGCAGCCATCCTGCCACTTGGAATCTGGCCAGCATCCAAAGTGTGGCTCCTGCTGGTCAGGCTCCAGTTTTGAGTGGTGTGTGTTGCCTCCGCATGCACCGCTCTGTTTTTTTTTTTATTGAACAGGGGTTTTTTGACCTGTGGTTATCCCCACCTTTCTCTCTTGCAGTGTGGAGAACAGCAGAATGTGTGGTATGTGGTGCTGCAGACATATCTGTAGTGCCACATACCATACGGCTGCTCCCAGTGGGGATGTTGGGCCACACTGTGCTCAGGGTGGGCAGCAGCGGTGCTGGGAGGGGGGATCGGGTGGGCTATGGTGAATTTTGGGATGGCTGCAGTCCCTCCACCCCCCCCATAGCCCACTCCCAGCACCACCACAGCCCACCCCAAGTGCAATCTGGCCTAGTCCCCCCTTGCTGGGAAGAGCTCAGCATAGCCCTGGTCCCAGCCCACAGTGGCAGCCTGCCTCCCCCTGCACAGCTCCAAGGGCACACGCCCCCCCATGCCCTCCTAGAGTATGTGCAACAGTGGGAGCTGCCACCCCCTCCCTGTACTGGGTGCCCCGCAGACAAACCGCTTGTGACTTCTTCATCCTACACCTCGCCCTGCCTTGGTTGTGCAACCCCAGCTCTGGCCCCACTCCCACACCCTCCTCACCCCTGCTGCAGCTGCTGGAAGCCTGTAGCCAGGCTGCCTTGTGGCCTTATCACTGCTCTGCATTTGGTGAGGGCTAAGCCCCTTTAGCCCCTGCTTCCGCCGCCTATAATGACTAAGTTTCCTGTCTGTAAAATGAGGAAGTGTACCCCATCTCCTAAAGTACCCAGAGAATTAATAAATGTAAGGCTGGAAGAAACTCAGATGCTATCATGAGGTCAAATACAAATAAAATAGCTGTAAAGAAATAACTTGATATCCCAGGAAATCTCTTGTAGATTCAAAAATCCTACAGATTCTCCTGGTTCCTAATCTCTCTACTTTCAACCACAAGATAAAATACTAAATCTTCGAAATTTGTCTTCTGAATAGCACTGCAGGATTTGTCTGAATTTGTGCTTAAATTGTATTTACTAAATAGAAGAAGATAATTAGACTAGTACAATATGAAGGTATGTTCTGCAATAATGTCTCCATGTCTTCTTCCTTCTCTTTACAGCATTTTGTTTGCAGACATAGTGGGATTCACTAGTTTGGCATCGCAGTGCACTGCTCAAGAGCTGGTGAAGCTTCTGAATGAACTCTTTGGCAAGTTTGATGAATTAGCCACAGTAAGCATGCCATTCTTTTTTTTAATTTAATTAAAATCACTTTTTGTATAATGATGATTTGCATGAAGTTCATATGTTAAAGACCTGAAATAGACTAATTCCTAGTCCAATTTCTACTACAAGGTCCGTAAATCATGAGTATTTAGGTTTCTGTTCTTTTGGTCTCTTTCATATTCTTGAGATAAAGCAGTCTGTTTAAACAGTCAAGGAAGAAGCTACAATGGATATTTTTAACAATATTTGTTCTCAGTTCCCGTTACTGAACCTGTTTATATATAGGGGAGAAAACTATTAAGATAAATACTAATATTTTTACCATGAATACAAGCAAATAATACTGTGGAAAATGTGAACATTGAATGCAAAATATAAAATACAATTTACTGGTGATATGCATTGGGAGCCATACTTCGGTTCCTCGCAAACAACTGCCTGTGTCTCAGAAACTGTGGTTGCCCATCAGAGAGACAACTGTAGGTATAGTAGCTGCTACATAACTAGAAATATTTTAAATTTACTAATAGCATTTACATTATGCTAGATGTGTTACAGAATATAAAGACTGGCATGTTTATTCTGTATAAGATCCTTTATTCTTAGAATACAGCATCACCATAACAGCTGAGAACTTGCAGTCAAAGTGAGATGGGATGGATAGATGGATGAGGATGCCCAAATAAGTTCTCATTTCCGGTTCCCAGTTATGTTCAATAATGTGAGTGAAACACTCTTACACAAAAAATTCACTAACCAAGCATCTTCTCTTTTGACTATCACACAGCAACTGAGAGCATGCAATTTTGCATCTCTTTTACATGGATGCTATCCCATTCTTTCAGAGCAAATCCCTCAATCCTCTCTATTACTGAGGTCTGTGGGTATTTTCACCCCTAGTTCCCTGGCTCAGCTACTTGTTGAGAAGACAGATGGCAATGTTTCACAGGCTGGAAGAAGTCTTCTGCTACATGTGATATTTGTGGGGTTGAGGACTTTTTCTCTGTTGCCTAGGAGGATGAGAGCGACATGGGATGCATAGAAGTCATCATAGGTGACAAGGACCAAATTGTAAAATATCAGGTTTTACCATGCAAAAAGCAGGATCTATTTGGCAATATCTTTTAGTGGACCAACAATATAGTCAGTTTAAAATACCAGATAGAACAATTACTTTTGTTTAACCCCATTAAATACATAAGAGTGGTCACTTAAGGAAAGTAGGCAGTAAATCTGTGGAGCAAGGAAAAGTTACTAGAAGTAGTTAAAACAGCTGAGCTAGATAAACCTAATTATGTAGAAAGAATAAGACTGCAAAGTATCCTGTAGTTATCTCTGAATAAGTTTTGCAGAGGGGACTGGTAATCTGTAAAGAGTCATAAAACCATTATCTATGTTAAATCCAGGGATTTTAATATCCAGTTAATTTAAACATTTTTGTTCCCAGACCCACCTTCTCAAAGTATTACATAGGTTTCTCTTGAGGACAAGGACTGAGAAGCAGAGATGGAGTGATTGTTGTGTGAAAAGTGTTCTCCCACTGGTGATTTGAGCGTTTCTACACTTTATCATTTCTCTGTGAGAATTTATTCTGAAGTGTAGTGGTTATCTAATTTCAGCAACCAAGTTTCCATGAGCAGATTTGGTGCACTGCATGAGAGATCTCATTTTGTGATAGTTATATTCAGGATCGCTGGATTTTGATGTTTCTGTTGTGGTGAGTTGGTAGTAATGACGGTTGAGGTGTATTGACAGTTTTTGCATTTGGATGCGGGGTTGGGAAGTTGTTTGAAGACCAAGGGAAAGGGGGAGAGGGAGTTGAATGATTTAGTTTTTTAGGTGCCACACTCCCCTGCCTTATGCTTGCCTTCAGATTGACACAGCAAATGAGCTTTCTACTCACAGTCCAGGAGTTGTGAAGGTGCTGACTGAACTTTCTCTCCTGTCCCTCAATACTTCACTTCCTGGTGTTCAGGCCTTGGGTGGACAGCTACATACAGGTCAAATTGCTGCAGCAACACCAGTGAATTGTTCTCCTTTGAACTGTTCTCTGTATAGCAGGCAGCAGCCATTTCTGGGCTTCATTTCCATAATATTGAACTATCTACAACTTCTGTTGATGCACTTTTTAATTATCTGGAGACTAATCCCACCTCAAGAGAAGTTCTTTCTCCTTTACAAGCTCCCTATGCAGCTTTACATTTGATCATTTTTCACCAATAAAAGAACTCTCTTCCCTGTGGACCAGGGGTCATTATAGTCAATGGAAGTCTTTGACTTAGCTTCTATGGCCTGCCTCTTCACCAGCCTTTCCGCTCATGTTAACTGCTATATGTTTCTTTTTAGGGAACTAAGAACAGATAGTTAAAATAAAAACCAAATATGCAAAATCCAAAAATTCAGTGGAACTCAATATTACTTTTCATTTATAAAGAGACTATTTAAGTTATTATATATCTTCCTTTTCTGTAAAATATGAGTTTCTCACTTTCTCTTCCTATGACATGGGAAAGTAGCGTTATCCTTCTAACAGGTAGAGAACTGAGACATAAAGAAATTAAAGGTCACATTCTTAAATTACTGAGAATTAGATGTCCAAGGTCACAAAGGAAGTCTGTGCTAGAGCAAGGCATTGGGCTAATTCTCTTGAGTCACAGGCTAGTGCCCTAATGAGTGACCCATCTTACCTTTCCTAGGAAGGTCTCTAGAGCTTTTTAGTCTCTGTTTTGTATATAGATATATATAGATTAGACAGCCAAAATAATATATCAACATATAAAGAGATTAGAAAATAATATATAAAACAAATAAATCTGCTTTTAGTAAGGTAGTTAAGCAGCTGCATAACTGAAGCCAATGGGGCTAGTGTGGGCTTAAGTGTACACATATGTTTAGGCAGACAAGGTTCTTTGGGTAGTTGTGTGCTATCTTTTATTAGACCAACTAAATAGTTGGAAAACTTGTTCTTTGCAAGCTTTCAGGAACAAACGCCCTTCAGATATAGGGAGAGTCTGGTGGTGTTTTATGTACTCTCCTGGGTAGAACAGAAGCCAATATGCAAAATGAAGGTCTGTAAAAATGCAAATATGTGGCAGTGAAGATCAGAGGGAATGGGAGACAATGGGTGGGAAACAACTGGTGATAGAATGTAGCTGGTAAAATGCAGACAGGTTACCTGGGGGTATCAGATGTTAGGTGGGTTATAATATGTCATAAATCCAATGTCTGTATTTAGTCCATGATCTTTTGCATCCAGTAGATTTATGAAGTGAAGTTCGTAGGCTCGTCTATGACAGGTGTTTGTATATTGGCTTCTGTTCTACCTGGGAGAGCACAGAAAACACTACCGGACTCTGGTTGCTCTAGTAAAAGATATCACATCTACCCAAAAAACCTTGTCTGCCTATGTCCTTAGACCAACATGGCTACAACCAAAAACCCACATACACTTAGGTAATTTGTAGTCAGGGCCTAAAAACTTATATCCCCACCTTCATTTCATATGTGAATTTCATTCACTACATAGGAGCAATGAACCATTTGATAAACTTTTTAAGATTTAGATTTTAGAAACCATTTAATTTAAATGGTTTCTAAAATCTAATCTTTTGTAGAAGATGTTGTTCTAAGCATGAAAAGAAATCTTTTTCCTCTTTTCTTTCTGAAATGCACAGTGAACCAATATGCACTGTACTTTAGCAGGGTGTGAGTGAGAACAAATGCCTTTTTTTATTTTTCCTGCAGTAAAAGGAGTCTTGTAATCATGTCTGTTGCAGTCAGATGAAACAGGCAGTGATCCATGATTTTTCACAGAGATGCTGATAAGCATGACTACTGGAGGAGTTTTGCATCTGATTATCTCAAATCCTCAGTCTGTCATGGTTGAAAACAATGGTATGCATCAAATGTCAAGATGAGGAGGGAAGAAAATGCAAGGAAAATCTAAAACAGTTTAATGGTGGTGTTTATGTTCCCCATGGCTACCGAAGCACGATCTATGAACACGCATTCTGTATGTTGTTAGTTCTTAAGAAGGAACATCAACTGAAAATGGCAATTATAACAGCCCTTGGTAAAGTAACTGCCTTGTATTCTAACAGTAATGTAAAAAAAAAAAAAAATCCTAGTCACCTGCCATTTTAAGGAAGTCTGTGTGTGCTGAACTTCTGTTATGAGTATAGACCAGTTTCTACTTATACTGGTAAAAGTGTAATGTCTGGCTTAGGACGATAACTTGCTAACTAGGTTAGGTCAATATAAATGTCTAATTATACAAGCATTTAAGGAAGTTAATCTGGGCAAAAAATGGCAGGTCCCATCTACATCAGTTGACCTGAAGTGAACCAGCTTAGGTTAGGGATGGGTTAATCTGATCTAGTGAATGTCTTTACACATTTGGAGTGCAGCCCAGGAACATGCTATTCTTGCCCCCTGCACCCCCCCAACCCCAGATGGACATCACCCCACCCCCCAAAACCACACTCAGTTCCGGCAACCTCCTATCCCCCATGGACCTGCTAGCTCCCTTGAACCCACTTGCCTTTCCCTCCTCCCGAATGCCTGTACATGGCACTACCAGTCTACATTTATGAGGCTTAAAGTGAGCCCCTTGATCATAGACTGGGTGTGGCAAACGAGTGTATGCACCCAAGGATATTTGTTCCTATCCTCCAATTCTTAGAGACTGGCTTATACTTTGAAGCATTAGGGTTTATGTCTCTTCCTAAGTACATTTTTAACCATTGTAATTTGAGCATTTTTATATCCATTTATATTGATTATTTAAAAAATCTTTCTGGGTTCTTGGCCTCAGCAATTGTAGCAGTGAGTTCTGAAATCAAATTGTAGAGTTAATACGTTATAGAATATATGTAAATTTGCACAAGGCTTCAATTTTGCCCCCATCACTTGCTTATCTGTTTGTTTTTTTCAGACAGTAAATAGAAGTTTCTGCTCTGCCTTCTTCATATTATAGATTTTTTTTTATGTCTGTTCTTAGTTTCCTA